GGGGTCACAAGGTGCTCAGTGGGGGAGCTTTTTGAGCCAGGATGAGCCAGGAAAAGGAATTTCACAAGGTAATGTCATCGCTTAAGGCAAGGACCGGCCATTTTCACTTCTTCTGTGGTGGAATGTCATCAGTTAAGGCAGGAGCAGGGCATTTGCACTTCTTTTGTGATTCTTCAGTTACTTCAGGCCATCTGGGCGTATAGGTGCAAGTCACAGGGTGTGCGATGGCTTGGCTTGGGCTCAGAGGCCTGACAGAGGTGGGAGGATCACTTGAGGCCAGGAGTTTAAGACCGCCTTAGTAACACAGTAAAACCCCATCGGTACAAACATTTTAAAAATCAGCTGGGCATGGTGGTGCATACCTACAGTCTCAGGTATTCAGGTGGCTGAGGCAGGAGGATCACTTGAGCCCAGAAGTTGGAGACTGCAGTGGGCTCTAATCACACCACCGCACTTCAGCCTGGGTGACAGCATGAGACCCTATCTCAAAAATAAAACAAAAAAAAAAGAAAAGAAAAATAATGTAAAAAGGTAAGACTCGACTGCCTAACTTCAAATTCAAGATTTGAGCAGGAAAATCAATGGTCAATTTTCCTAGGCAACTATAAGTTACCTTCCTTAATAAAACTCCTTAACCTAAGATGTCCCCCCCCCCGATTCCTGACCATAGCATTTACAATAAGACCTCTTATTGCAATTATGAACATAGGATACTGGAAAATATCTTCTATATGGCAAGCCCAACTGTAACGCTGCACTCAGGAATTCTCTTATTAAAATATGCACGCACTCATACTTGAGATTTATTGGTCTTTTGTCTTATTGAGTTAAGTTCTTAAGCTGATTTTTGATATTACTCTTGTGACATTTTAAAGCTTTTGTGCTTAAACTGCACATTCTTCTGCAAGCATAGATATTTGAGATGAAGTAGACAGCACTTCATAGAATTCAAAGAGATGGGGAGGCTGAATGATGAATGAATGTATTTACTGTGTAAATGAGGAATAAAACTGGGCCAAGGTTTTTCTCCTGAAGCCAGATTTTAAAAATGGTTTAATAATATATTTTAACATGTTCCCCTTTGGGGAACCATGTAGATCTAGTAGACTGTACTTTTCCTCTTATTTTTCTTGACTTCAAATCAGAGTGATGGTTTGGTGGGTTATACGCCCCAGCGACTTTCCTCTGTGCCACATTTTCCTATCTGTTGGCATCTGAGGACATTTCAATGGCTTCCTTGAAGCTCTTGCTGTCTCTCCTCTATGTTCAATTTTCTGCCTTTAGCACACTATTCAAGAATGGCTTTGCAATCTTAGTGTTTGTTATTTGCTCTCATCCCTTGACCAGGCTGTAATGTTTCCGGAGGTAATCTGATGAATTGGTTTGAATAGCTCAATTTGGAGAATAGCTAATAGGCAGGGAAAGTGAGGAGCATGAATAATGGAGGTAGCTGGGCCTCTCATTGAATCAATACATACAGTGGGGGAGGAGACAGGCATCAGGAACACTGGCCCACTAGGAATAAGATTGCTGGGTATTAAGTTTTGGCATTGTTAGAATTGTGACATGAATGAGGAATGAGAATCTCTTTGGTCTTCTCTGGCTATCTTGGGGCGGGGACTATCATTTACTGTTTCACTGTTACTACCCTATGAAAAAGCAAGGGTCGGCCGGGCGCGGTGGCTCAAGCCTGTAATCCCAGCACTTTGGGAGGCCGAGATGGGCGGATCACGAGGTCAGGAGATCGAGACCATCCTGGCTAACACGGTGAAACCCCGTCTCTACTAAAAAATACAAAAATCTAGCCGGGCGAGGTGGCGGGCGCCTGTAGTCCCAGCTGCTCGGGAGGCTGAGGCAGGAGAATGGCGTAAACCCGGGAGGCGGAGCTTGCAGTGAGCTGAGATCCGGCCACTGCAGTCCAGCCTGGGCAACAGAGCAAGACTCCGTCTCAAAAAGAAAAAAAAAAAAAAAAAAAGAAAAAGCAAGGGTCACCTGTGTTCTGTGTGGCACTGCAAAATCAAATTAACATTGACCTGAGCCCCTGTTGCAGGCTACAAAGCAAAGTGTGGGTGCAGCTGAGGATATTGAAGAGTATTAAACATGGTTGGGCATAGTTGGAAACAACAGTGGGATTCTGAATACAAGGTGTTAGGAGGTTAATTGCATAATGAATGCTTTTGACCTTCAATGGGTCTGCTGAGGTCAGTGTGAGTGAGGAGGAAACAGGAGCTGCGGCTGTAAGGATGAGAGGATAGAGATGGTAGAGGGTAGAACTGGAACATTCTAGCCGAGAGTGACATTGGCAAAGTAGAACTCTCTCTAGGAGGTAGGAGGTAGGAGACCTGGCTGAAGTGCAACAGCATGATCATGGCTCACTGTAGCCTCACTCTCCTGAGCTCAAGGGATCCTCCTGGTTCAGCCTCCAGAGTGTCTGGGGCCACACGTGCACGCCACCACATCCAGCTATTTTATTTTTTTTGTAGACACGAGGTCTCACTATGTGACTCAGGCTGGTCTCAAACTCCTGGGCTCAAGCAAGCTTCCCACCTTAGCTTCCCAAAGTGCTGAGATTGCAGATGTGAGCCACCAGGCCCAGTCCCAGACCTGGCTTTTGACTCATTATACCGATGCTCCTGCTTCCTGTGTGGCATTGGGCAATCAACACAGCCTTTCTGAATATTCACTTCCTCAACAGTAAACAGAGGAGTTAGATGGACTCATTCATTCCAGAAATAGTTTTGAGCATTTTCTGTGCATCAGACCCGGTGCCACACACCATGGGTGCAAAGGGGAGCAGCATAGGTAAAATCTGTGCCTTCTGAAGAGGGTAGAGTCTTCTGGAGGGACATGACAAATAATCAGGCACTGCCAGTGCTGGGAGCTAAGTTCTGTTACAGGGAAGAGAAAGAAACACTGGGAATACCAAGGAGGATATTTACAGAGGGGGAAGCCTTTGAGCTGAAATTGAACAGTGAGTAAAGGCTGAGCAGCCATGGTGAGATGGGGGAGACTCTTCTGAATGGTGTGGCGGCGGGGGTGGGGAGGATGCAACACTCTTGTTGGACTGGAACACAGAGTTCAAATGGTGGAATTTCAGAGCTCTGGCACTCTTAAGAAGGTCCAGTAAGTTCTGCCATGAACAGTTGTGCTCCTAACTAGCTGTGTGACCTTGAACAAGTTTCTTTGTCTCCAAAATCCAGTTTTGTTACAAGTAGGCATGAGTGGGCTCTTCCCCGACACACTAGAAATGTCGGATGACAGTTCCACAATTATCGCATTGCCTCCCTAAAAATGATAATTCAGCAGTCAGGGAGAGACAATCTCCTGATGGTCCACACCCTTAACATTAAAAGTGTTAGGGCCGGGCGCGGTGGCTCAAGCCTGTAATCTCAGCACTTTGGGAGCCCGAGACGGGCGGATCACAAGGTCAGGACAGCGAGACCATCCTGGCTAACACGGTGAAATTCCGTCCTTACTAAAAATACAAAAAATTAGCCGGGCGCGGTGGCGGGCGCCTGTAGTCCCAGCTACTCAGGAGGCTGAGGCAGGAGAATGGTGTGAACCCGGGAGGCGGAGCTTGCAGTGAGCTGAGATCTGGCCACTGCACTCCAGCCTGGGCGACAGAGCGAGACTCCGTCTCAAAAAAAAAAAAAAAAAAAAAAAATTAAAAGTGTTAACTGAATGCAGATCCCAGGGAGAAGCAGATTCTTAGGCATGTGTGTTAAGAGGCAAAATGGCAAAGTATGATGTTCAGGGGGTACACGTTACAGGAAAAAGGAAACAGTCTCAGCTGCGCATGCGCATAACTCCCTAACGCACAGCGCGTGCTCAATTCCAAAGGTGAAGGAAAGCACTGCGCATGCGGGAAGCCCACCCTAAGGGAAGAATCACACGGAAGAATCACAGGAAAGAGGTAAGCCTAAAAAGTTTTAGGATCAAGGTTAAAGGCCCTTTTTTGCTCTCCTCTCTCTTGGACCTTCAGGTGCCGGCTTGGGTATCTTCCAAGCGAATTTTCCTTTATTTCCTGTTCTAAAGTCTTTATAAATAAACTTCTACTCCTGCCCTGGAAATTGCCTTGGTCTCTTTTTCTTCTTTATGCCCCTCAGTCAAATTCTTTCTTCTGAGGAGGCAGGGACCGAAGCTATTTCTGACCAGTACAGATATACGCCGCAGGTAACTCGGATCTCCTCCACCGCTAATAGTTTCTTAATCTGTAAAATGGGATAATACTGGTATGTATTGCATTAGCCTATTGATTGTGTGGATTCAATGAGATGATGTATGTAAAGCCCTTAGCATAGTGCCTGGAATATAGGAAGTCCTTAGTAAATGTTAATTGCTGCGTTTTCATTACTACTACATCTTTCACATCCCAGGCATCCTGTGCGTCACGGAGTGCTCGCCACCACCCCCAAGGGACACTTTCCCCAATCGCTGTGGCCCTCTCTGGGGAACTGAAGGCCTCCGTAACTGCCATGGGATTGATTTGTGGGCAGTTGCTTGCACAGGTTCAGCTTCTGTCCTGATTACTACAAGCTTTGGATTCAGTTCTCCCCAGTACTTCTCCTGTAGTATTATACTTAGACATTTCCTATGTGGGATCGAGATAAAATATTCCATTCCTATGGATAATATGGTTTTCTATCTCTATTATTCAGACACAATGACCAAATAATAATTTGGATGGATGGCAAGCCTTGGATCAATAACATGCTGCCTGCTGTTAAAAAGCTAGTTTGGTCATCACATCTCTTCTTGGCACTAAGGATAATGTTGTACCCTGATCCTCCATCCTTTCCTCTTTCCTCCCTCCCATCCTCCATCCTTTCCTCATGTATAATCTTAATGTTACTCTTAGGAGGTGTGAAAGGCTGACTTAACCTTTAAATGTGTTCTTTGAATTCCTTAGTTCTAGAGCAGTCATTTCTAAGATCATCCTATCAGAGAAATGCAATACTCTAAAAATCTACTTTTATTTGGTATAGACCACTTCGTACGTATTTGCTGAAAACTTGCCACAGTTTTTAATAGACCATATACATTTTAAGGAACCACAGACATGCTTTAAGTTTGGGCATTTTGAGAATCGAATAGTGTTAAAAACATAAGGGCCCTCAAAAATGTAATTCTCTTCTTACTTCCCAGCCTTCCCTCCCTGCCTTACTCAAATTCTGACCTTGAATAGTTCTCACTTTACTGTTGAACCACGATTCAGCAGCAGCAGCAGCAGCAGCAGCAGCAGCAGCAGCAGCTCTTGTAGAATGTTGCAATGGCAAAAGGGGTTTACAATTGTTTGTGTTTTTCACCGTTGACTTAAATAGCGTTAATTCAGAATGATGCACTGTGCTTCAATATTGCAGATCTGAAAGAGGTGGGAATTGAGACAGACTGATTTATCCGGGGCCCCATGTTCCATTTAGAATTTAGACAAAGGAGTTTTTTAAAAATGTAGTTTTAATACAGTCCGCACTTTCTCTTCCACCCACATCTCTGGCTTCTAAATGACTTTGGTTAAGCATAATCGATTAATCCTTCAATGAGAAAGGAAAGCCATGGAAAATCTAGCAACAGGAATTGTGTGTGAGTCAATGCTTGGACTATTAGAAGCGGAAGATATATGCAGAAATAGAAAACTCACCTTGTGGCAAATTAAGAGCATTAATTGAGCTGTGCAAGGAAGTGTTTCTTTTGTATTCTTCTTTTTGATGGATGCCAGCAGTATTAAAGAGAATAAATAATATTGAGCAAGGAATCATTGGTGCTGATGTTGGCACTAAAACCCTCACTTGTAACTGTGCGTAGAATAATTAGAAGACTATGAATAGCCTGTTCTCTTAGACTGGTACTAGTGGGAGCCAGGCAGGGGAAACAGGGCTGGAGGCTTCATCTAGCACAAAACAGCTGGGTCCCCCACCTCAGAACCAAAGCTAACTTCCTCTTGTGACCTGGTTTCTCTCTCCATCTCCATGCTCAGTCCCCACTGTATCCCCTGGACCCTGGGGATCTTCCTTTTTTTTAATCAGCCTAATTGCTTGCAATAGGGGCTGCACCCTGCACCAGAGGCCCCAGATAACACAGGCAGGTCTCTAAGACATCCTACTTAGCTTTTGTTTTCAGTTTCCATCTTGATTTTTAAGATTGCTGATATTATCACTGTCAAAACAACAAATAAAAACATATTATAAACTGATTCCAAAGTCATATTATGTTTTGAAAGGAACATGGAGGTTGGAAGGGGCCCCATGGCATGGCCGTGTGTAAGCCCTTCCACCTCCTCTGTGTTCTTAGTTCATGCCTTATGCTCTTAGTTCCTTTCTACCACATCCCATAGTGCCCTGTCCCTGGTTCTGTTCCAGTGCCCCAGCAGTGTCCCCTAGCAATGTGCCTCATTTATGGCTAAATGTGCCTCTGTGCTTGGAACAAACCTTTAAGTTCACCTTTCAGAACCTGACAGATTGGAGCTACTATCCTCAAGTACTTGCTTTGTATCGTTGTCAGCATTACTGGGCAGCTCTTTAGAAAGGTGGACGTGTTCTTGGATACAGATTTCTTACCCTCTAGCAGACTGTTGTTTTAAAACATTGCATCTGCAATCCAATCTGGAGATTTTGATTCAGTGGGTCTGGGATGCGGCCCAGGAGTTTGTAGTTTTAACAAGTATCTCGGGTGATCACTATCAGGAAAGTTTGGAAAACTCTGCCTTATTGTACACTCAACTTTCCTGTTCTCTTTCCTGCCTCATTCCCATTGACCTGCTAAGTATTTGCTGGCTGTGCAAACAACCTTTGTAATGACTCTAGGCTTCCATTTGACAGAGTTTGAATATAATATGGCAATTTTGAACCCTCCTAATCTTTTTAAGATAGAGTTTTACCAGATCAGTCATTCTATATTGACACTTTTAATTCATGGCTTGTTCCTGCACGAACTTCTCATTGTGGAACAATTAAGATACCTACTTTTTAAAAGAAATCTGGAATTTAGTTTGAATTTCTCATTGTGAAGCAACTACGATATCTACTTTTTAAAAAACCGGAATTTAGTTTGTTAGAAAAATCTGATTCTTAGAGTAGCAATTAAAGTTGTTGATTTTTTAATTTGTTCCTTTTAATTAAAAAGTTTTAGGGAAGGGAGAAATGAAGAGTTCTTTCATGGGTAAGAATTTCAATTTTACAAGATGAGAATTCTACAGATTGGTTGTACAACATCGTGAATACATTTAATGCTGCCAAATTGTACACTTAAAAATGCCTAACATGGTACATTTTATGTTATGCATATTTTATCACAATTTTTTAAAAACTTGGGGAGAAGAGGCCGGGCGCAGTGGCTCAAGCCTGTAGTCCCAGCACTTTGGGAGGCCGAGACGGGCGGATCACGAGGTCAGGAGATCGAGACCATCCTGGCTAACACGGTGAAACCCCGTCTCTACTAAAAAAAAAAAAAATACAAAAAACTAGCGGGGCGAGGTGGCAGGCGCCTGTAGTCCCAGCTACTCGGGAGGCTGAGGCAGGAGAATGGCATAAACCCAGGAGGCGGAGCTTGCAGTGAGCTGAGATCCGGCCACTGCACTCCAGCCTGGGTGACAGAGTGAGATTCCGTCTCAAAAAAAAAACAAAACAAAAACAAAAACAAAAAAACTTGGGGAGAAGTGTCCACAGGTTTATTGTCTAGATAACTTTCAGAAAATGAATATGATTACCTACCATGGAACCAGGCACTATGCTAACACCTTTTTGACTTTTTCAATGGAGTAGGTTATTTAGTTCTTAACAACAGTGCTGTCTGTATTTCACAGATCGGGAAGGAGAAGGTCACTTGACTCACAGGCCAACCGATATGGACTGAATTGTGTCTTCCCCTCATTAATAGGTTGAAACCCTATCCTCCAATGTGATGGTTTGCAGAAGGGGCTTTTGGGGAGTAATGAAGTTTAGATGAGGCATGAGGGCTGGATGGATATGATTGGATCAGTGCCCAAAGAAGAGACACCAGAGAGCTAGCTTCCTCTTTCTCTTTCCACCTTTACACACTGAGAAAAGGCCAAGTGAGCACACACCAAGAAGGCAGCCATCTGCAAACCCAAGGAGAGAGTCCTCACTAGATACCCTGCTGGCACCTTGATCTTGGACTTCTAGCTTCCAGAACTGTGAGAAATAAATTCCTGTTGTTCAAGCTAGTATTAATATCTCGTGTTTTGTTACGGCAGCCCAAGTGACTAAGACACCAACTTAACTTACTTGGCCAGGGTCAATCAGTGTTAGGGCCCAGGATTCTGACCCAGTTCTGCCTAACTCCACAATTCATGCTTTTTCTGGATATAAACATCTGCCTTGCCAGGTTTCCCTGACTTTTAAAGCCTTGGAGCAGTGTGTGTCATGTGCTGCACACCCAGGCTGGAACAGCCTGTCCCCAGGTAGGTCTCTGCATAGTGTGTGACTCCATGGGGACCTCTGTGCAGCCCCAATCTTGTGAGCTGATAAGATTTATATTGGTAAGCTTGGCAGATGTAATGCCTACCTCTAACAACTCTTCAGGAATGCAGGACCGTCTAGAGGGATTTATTTGCAGAGACAGAAGCCTTGGTGTGGGATGTATTAGTGTACAGTTTGTACAGTTTGCCAAACCCCTCAGCCAATGCAGTTTCTATTACTGGTGCCCCCACACTTGCTGGGATTCACTGTTGTGCGCTGATAGCTCCAGCTGTTGAGCATCCCTGATGAAGCCTTAGCCGGCAATGGCTGAAGGCGGTATCTCCGAGATGTCCGGTCAGGACCCTCGTCTCTGTTGCCATGGCTGTATCTCACTGCTGAGCCTCTCCTCTGTTCCCTGCAGGGTAGAGTCTGGATGCTTTCGTCGACATATTGGAGTTTTTCTACTAAGTGCAGAAGCGTCTCTAGATCTGAGCACAGTCACATCAAGCTTGGATTTTAATGTCCTGGTTTCATTAACTTCTATTTCAGTGACTCCAGGGGCTGCTCTCCCTCACTGGGTTCTTTTCAGATGTGTGCAATGGCTAGAACTTCTTTCTGTTCTTGCTGCAGTATGCCAGCCACATTTCCTTTTACACAGGCATCTCCTTTTGTCTCCTTTCTCTGGGTACTGCAGCAGCAAAAGGGGTAATCTGTGGTCTTGCCTCCCTAAAGCCTCCTGCAGAAAACAACTTTCAGGCTGGGGGCTTCCTGAAGAATAGGTTGCACTGGACAGAAGGACTTCACGTGTCTGTGTTGCATCCTAAAACATGACCTTTCGTTCCTCTCTACTTAGGATCTATATGCTGTGCCACGATTTTTCTACCATGGTTTTATCTTGTAGAAATCACTTTACCTCTCTGGGTTCCAAGTCCTCATTTATTAAATGAAGTTCCCATTCTAAGATCGTGCCAATTTTCCTATTTCCAAATTCATCAGCACCGAGAGTGCCTGCCCTTACTGTGGAGGTCTGGCAATAACAGAGAACAGGTTCTCCCTGCAATATTGACACAGGCCTGCCCTTGGCCTCTCCCGTGGGGGCCTGGAACACTGGCACCCCCAGCTTCTCCTCGGGGCCAAAGATGACTTGAGCCTTCCCAGTGGAGTTAGAAGCTGGAGCTTCCTTTCGGGAAGTGACTCAGAGTGACAGACTCGAAGATCAGGAGGGTCTTGTAGTTTCATCACATTGACAAGAATTATAGGAGCTCTAATTATACAAGCTGCCACAATGTCCTGATTTCAGTCCTCATTAAGTCCTGACTTCTAAAATGAGGTTACAATTATATCATAAGGGCCGGGTGCAGTGGCTCACGCCTGTAATCCCAGCACTTTGGGAGGCTGAGGCGGGTGGATCACTTGATGTCACGAGTTCAAGACCAGCCCGGCCAACAGGGTGAAACCTCGTCTCTACCAAAAATATAAAACTTAGCCAGGCATGGTGGCACATGACTGTAATCCCAGCTACTGGGAGGCTGAGGCAGGAGAATTGCTTGAACCTGGGAGGCAGAGTTTGCAGTGGGCTGAGATCATGCCATTGCCCTTCAGCCTGGGCGAAGAAGTGAGACTTCATCTTAAAAAAAAAAAAAAGAAACTAAATAAATATATAAACTAAATATATGTATATTAGGCTTGGCGTGGTGGTTCACACCTATAATCCCAGCACTTTGGAGGCCAGGGTAGGAGGATCCCTTCAGGCCAAGAGTTTGAGACTGGCCTGGGCAACACAGACCCCATCTCTAAAAACAAAAATTAGCTAGGCATGCATGGTGGTGCATGCCTGAAGTCCCAGCTACTTGGAAGGCTGAGGTGGGAGGATTGCTTGAGCTTAGGAGTTTGAGGTTATAGTGAGCTATGATCACACCACTGCACTCCAGCCTAGGTGACAGAGTGA